CAAGAAACACGGTCAAACGCACCCACTGCGTCGACGGAGAGGATTGTAGCGCGGGCATCGACCTCGGCAGCCGCGCGGAGGACGCGCGGCAAAGCCTCGCTGCCGGCACGCGTGCTGAAGCCGTATTGGTGAGGGAAGCAAGCATGCTCGAAGTGTGGTGCGAAAGCTTGTGCCAAAGTTCGCCCAACAACCAAACGGCGTAAAGCATCGCCAACTACCAGTGCACGGAGGCCACGGCCATTCGGTTTCTGCAAAGCGACGGCTGCGAGCGCCGGGGCAGGCACGTCGGCGTGGCGCGGCACCGTGGAGAAGTTGAGCTCGTGGTCCAAAAGCATGCGCTAGCCGACGGGCCAGCTACTGCTGCGCGTCGCGCCGTCCGCAAGCATGTGAGGAAGGGATGCAGCGTGAACGGACACACATGCATGTGAGGAAGGGATGCAGCGGGAACGGACACGGCTCACCGGGCTGTAACGCGGCGACGTCGGGCGACATCGGGCCGTAGGGTTCGGCGGGGCGTCAGGCAGGATCGCAAAGCTCGGCGAGGGTGGCAGCGGACCCTGAGGCGAGCAGGTCGGCGACAAGCGCGCAAGCCGCCGCAGATCTGAACCTCTGAGCGCCTGGCGGCCGGCGCGCCAACACCTGCAGCGGCTTCCTGCAGGAGGCGAGGCTATTCGCCGCGCAGCATTTGGCCTCTCTTGTGCGGTCGCACGCCTGCGGGCGGCTCGGTGGTGCACCTGGAGGACGCTCCCGTGCACCATGTCAGGCGAGCCACTGCATCGCACGGCCCGCAGCGGCCGCGGTCACGATCTGTGGCCGGCCGTCGGCCGCTGATGCGGCATTCCAGAGCTCAGGTGTGTCGGCCATGGCAGGGGAACAGGGCGGAAGGGTGGGAACCGGAATGGCTGCGGTTGCGGCATGGGGGGCATGGGCACGCAAGAGTGTGAGTCGGTAAGTTGCCGACCATGGCGCTCGGAAGCGTGCGTGGAGCGCCTTGCGAGCCTCAGATTAATGTCCCAGTCTGGCGTACGCCCTGGCGGTTGTCGGCGACAGTCGCCCGTTTGTCTGATCTGCAGTGGGCGCTCGCGGGCGTCGCCGTAAGCGCCGTAAGCGCCGTGCCGCAGCGGCGCGATGCTTGGGCGTGTGTGGGCTGTTGGTGGGGGTGGCGGTTCTGTCGCTAGTGCTTCCCGCAGCAAACGGCAGAGCAGCTCCTCGGTCGGGACTCGGCCGGGGCCACCACTTGTGTCGCGAGGGCTTGTAGCTCTGCAGGTCCTCCTGCCGCGCGAGCCAAGACGTGCTCCGCGGCTTTGCGCTAAGGAGAAGGGTGCGTCGCTGGCGGCGCCCTGCGTTGGTGCGGCAGCCCGAAAAGCATGATGACACCCGCGGCCAGCGCGCCCAGCGGACCCCAAGGCCAAACCAACCTCACGACGAACACCAGGGACCCCCGGCCCGCGGGGTAGTAGGTTGGCGCGCCGCCTGCGCAGGTTATGGTCGCATGGACCAACGCCTCCCGGCAGGTTGGGGGCAGTTGGGCCAGGGTCGGCACTGCCCGGCGAGCGTCTTGCACGGCCCAACTGAGCAGGCTCCAACCGCCGGTCAGCCAGAGTGCCATGCGGGGGCGGGGTGGCACCGAGAGGACGGGGGGAAGAGTTCAAAGTTGAGCCCAGAGACTTGAGCCAAAATGGTTTGAGCCAAATTCTGCTTGAGCCAAAATCGCTACGGGAAAAACGGGGTTTGGGTCGGGTCCACTTCGGTTGCGCTGCGAAGGACGGGGCACAACTCTTGCCATGTCCCGCGCATGCGGCGTGCGGGCAGCTCCCCGCCCTGCGCAGCCTCCGCAAGCATGGTCTTCTGGCCATAGCCGTTCCGTGACTTGGCAGACACACGCTTGCACATGCGTGCAAGCCGGCTGCATGCACGGTGCGGCTTGCTGGCACAGTGCCTGCATCTACGTGCTGCGGCTTCCCGAATCCTGCGAGCTCGAGCCGTCGCTCACGGGGCGGCTCATCCGGCTGACACGCCAAGCCTGCCCAGTGCCATGTTCGCGACGGCCTGCTGCACGCCACCCAAGATATCCCAAGATCACCCAAGCATGACCCACCAACGGCGACCAGCCCACCGCCAAGCTCTTTGCGACCATGTGATGCACGAAACGGCCAGCCTCGCCATTCCAACGCCTTCCATCGCCCTCCGACCTCCCAGCCCAGGACAAGGGGCTCGTGAGGTCCCCCGCTGCATAGCTTTGGGTACGTGGACCGCTTGGGGCACTCAACGACTCTGGGCACGGTGGCGTCTGTGTCCGCGGCGGCTGTTTAGGCCCCTATATACATTAGCCGAACGCCCACGCACTTCCTCTCTTGTGCAAAACTCAGGGATCTAGAGCTCTGAAGCCCGAAACTAAGGCCCGCGGAAGTAGCGGCCAAGCAAGCACCTTTACTAAGATGCCCGTGTGCGTGAGGGTAGCATCGCAGCACAACTCGCCGCTCTCTTGCACATGCGTTTTGCGCTTTGTTGCTCTCCCGGGCCCAGGCTTCTGGCTCCCCATACGCCCAGTCCTGCCAACGACCGATGACTTCGCCATCGCGGGCCTTCCGACCACCGGTCGGCCTTCGCCACCTCTGGCCACTCGAACTTGGTTTTGCCTTTTGACCGGCGTTCGCCTGAGCAAGGTCCCAGTGCAAACCCGTGTCCAGGGCCGACTACAAACCACGTTGCGCGAGGCACACGGCTGGCGAGGGGTTGTTCGAGGGCGGAGTCGGCGAGGACGTCGCCAAGGAGCGGGACGTCGCGGCAGGGGCAAGGAAAGAAGGCTGGCGGCAAAGGAGCGAGCGGCTGCAAAGGAGAACAAGGAGGACCAAACGCAAAGGCAGCGATGCTCGGCCCTCGGATGGCGGCAGGAACGGCCCGTGCTCGGGAGCGAGCAAGGAGCCTGACAAAAGAAGCGGCTTCATTGCTCCAGCGGCCGCCCAGCTCCTGGCAGAGTGGCGGAGCTCCTTAGCTTTGCGAGCGTGTACCAAGGCTGCACCACCGGTCGCGTGGCCGCCAGCTCGAACTGTGCCCGGGTAGCAGGCCTTGTGCGGCTGGCGGACACGAACCTCGACACGCCAACGAGCGGTGCATCGAGGTCGTCGCCAACGGGCTTCCGCTGTGGCATGGCTGCCGTCTCGCGTTTGATGCCAGTACCATCTCGCCCATCACCCCCGACACCAGCTTCTGTTTTTTGTTTGTTGGTCCAATTTCTTTTGCGCCCGCGATGCGTCGGACCGAGTCTGAAGTTTCGTCTTCTTACCAGCCTAAAGAAGCGCACCGCGCCAGCATGCACACTAGCCAGCGGGCAGCTAGCAGTAGCGTCGTGCAAGGCGCATCGGCGAGGATTTGCGGGATTTCGACTTCAGGCCCGGTGCCCTCACTGAGCTCGGCAACCGCAGACAGCTCAAGGAGGGAAGCGTAGCCAAAGCATGCCAGAGCCCAGTGCTGGTAGCCCACAGTCAGCTCGGGGATTTGGAGGGCGCTGCAAACGAAGCTGCGCAGCGGCTCGTAAGAGACTTGGCTCGAGTCCGGCACAACGGGCCTCCTAGTGCGACCTTATTGGATCGTCGGCGCAAGTCCTGGAGGACAGTCATGTCGTCGCGGTACTCTTTTTCATTGCTAGCTGTTTTGTAGCCCTCGTCAGCTTATCAGCCTGTCCATAGGCAAGGGTGCGCGGTGGGTGATCACAAATTGCCGCAAATTTGGCTCAACGCCGGTGTCAGCGATCCACCGTGCTGCGACACACAGGATCGACGAGGGGTTCATGCATTTCGTCCGTGTTCTGCAAAGAGGCTCAGCTGAGAGCCAAGAGAGTGCCTCGACAGCGGATGCACATGGGAAGAGGATCTCAGTCAGCATTTGACGTGACAACAACAGCGACAACAGTACGACTCCCCGAAGCTGGGGCTTCCAACGCCATCTGTCCATCTATCTACCGGACCTACCTATCTGTCTATCTATCTATCTATCTATCTATCTATCTATGCCGCCACAACGACACTCATTGCTTCGTGCTTTTCCGACTGCTTCTTCCTTCTCCTGCCTCTGCATGTGCACCACCCACACACACACACACACACCCACACGCCTCTGAAACATCAGAATCTGCAGGCTCGGACCATTCGACTTTTCTGCACACCCGTTTGCAACACATCGTCGTGATCAGCACGGATTTCGAACGGCCGTCAGATTGCTGGGGAATCTATCTCCACAGAGAGTACCTTGCTGTCGGGATGCACTCCAGCAGTTTCACGCGAACGTGCATGTTCCTCATATGGTCGAACACAATGATAGTGCTGGTCCCGAAGGCTGTGTCATGGTCTGCTTGCCGAAGAGAGCTTGTCCTGATGCAGGGCATGACAAGCTGATGGCCTCTGGTCAAAGACACAGCTTAGACTTCGGGGCTTATAGAGTCAATTCGTCGAGCATTCCTCGGACGCCGAGCTGCCGAGGCCACGGCCTGGCACCTGCGAGGGGAGAGTTTTCCACAGAGCGCGGTCGTAGACGGCCGGGGACGGGCCGGGACGGGTGTTTAGAGTGGAAGGCCGAAGCTTCAGGAGAAGGCGAAGTCAAAGGCGAGTTCCGACAGCGCCTGCGGAGCCTTGCAGAGCCTCCCTCCACAGCGTCGCTGCTCCATCTCAGGCACCCTCAAAAGAAAAGCCCTCGAATGTGCTCCATTCCTGTGGCCAAAGAACCGATAGGTTTCCGATATGCTGAATACTGGCCGAGAGCAACAACTCGCGCACTGCACTTGCAAAAACGCCGAGCCGCGAAGAAGTCGCATGTCGTGAGCTGAACTGCTTCTTGTCTTCGGAGCAACGACACTGTCAGTTCGGGTGACACATGGTTTGAAGGCCTGTTTCGACCCTGCGAGGACGAAATGCATGCATCGGTGACCACTTGCAGATTCAAGCAGCTACCAGGAGCGCTTGCAATACATCTGGCAGCATCTCCAAGCAAAGCTTACACCCTCCTCACTTCGAGTCGTGGCTCTTGAGGAAAGATTCCAAGTGCTGCTGCTGATGCCTGAGTAATTTTCAAAAAGCTTCTTCCACAGAAAGAACCAAGCAAAAACGACTTCGCCCCGACTGTCAAGGCGAGGGGCTTGAGGAAGTCAATTTCTTCTTTCCGCTTGCGTTCATCTACCGCCCGACGTTCCGCTTCGCGGCGTTCAATGGCTTCGCACTTGTTCTTGAGTTCCACAACACGCGCCTGGTCTTTCAGAATCTGCGGCTTAGTGGATTCGGAGGAATGACGCGCTTCTTACAGGCCTCTCTCTGCTTCTTCTGCTCCTCATGCTCGGCAATCATCTGCTCTGTTTCTGCCTTGCCCTGCTCGGACTGAAGCTGCTTCCGTGTGCCGAAGGTTACACCTGCGCCGACATTAGACTTTGTCATTCCTCCTCCTTGTGCATATACATGCTGCTTTCATGAGTCTGAGGTGCAGACTGCTCTGGTACAACGTCTGATATGCTGCAATGGACATGCGAATCTCATCACGGACACGCAGCAGCAATAATCCACGCTCGGGGCAGTTGATCGTGACCTGCACATTTGCACGGTGAGTCTTGCAGGCAGCACCAGGACAGTTGACTTTCGCCCACCTGACGGATGAGCTCGTCAAAACACTGTGAGTAGAGCTCTTCCCGAACAGGGCAAATCCCAGTCTCGCGAGCCTGCGGGTCAGACGGCAATCAGATACTGTATCAGGATCCATGACATTGCGAAAAGCGTGAAAAAGTGTGAAAGATATCCGAATGGCTTGGAACCAGATGCCTGCCGCTCCATCAGACGCTGGTCCAACGCCTCCTGCAGCTGGATGACATCCAGGCGTGTGGCCGGTTGGTTGCTGACCTTCAGATGCTAGAGACCAACGCGGTGGTCATGCCATGCCAGGTGTTGACGTTCAATGACTTCCAACCACAGCTACCCCTCGACCCCGTCTCCCTGGCTCGTGATAGTGCCAAGCTGCATACTGCTGATAGTGCTTGCCGTCCTCAATCCACTCACCTGAACACAGCCAGCGGAAGTGTCTCCAAGGATACACACGCACACACACAAACCAGATTGACCGAGGCACGAGGTGGAAGGAGCGCATGCCTTTCAGCTCATACTCTTGCAGCACCACCCCCCGGCACATACTTTGAAAACACGGGGCCGATGTAGTTCTGTGAATGCAGGCGGGTGGCAGAACGTCGTCTGTGTTGGGCTTCGATTCTGCTGGTGGCAGTTGCGTCTTGCGTGCAAGCTGTGCCTTCGGCAGGGATAGTAAGCAGTCTTTCGCCGGAACGTCTTTCAGTTTGTTTCATCCCCGAGTGCAGTGCGAGCCTTCAGAGAGTTCGGCTTGGGCGGCTTGTTGCCCTTGCGACCGACGGCATCCGAAGGTGCGGGGCCCAGCTCCAGAGGCGGATCATACTTCACCTGATCACTGGGATGTTTTCCCTGAACACAACGCACCCACACCCAAAGGCCACTGAGCCAAACACCAGAGATTCACGAGGTCTGCCGACTGGAATCGACATCGTGGCAGCCGCAATGTCCAAACATGTACAAATGTTCCTCAACGGGTTTGAGCCCGCGGCAAACATGTCATACAAGCCATTCAGCTGTCTTCACACAAATGCAGCCGCTGACAGCACAGCTACATGACACTCAGCTTTACCGATATTGTCTCAATGTGCTTTAAGATTAGGGGTCACGGCGGCACTTGCCTGACACCAGAAAGCTCTGCTAGCGTGATGTCGGAGTTGGCACCTTCATCACAACTATCGCGGCATTCCAGACTCAAATCCCTGTCGTTTGTCAGTGTTCGGGGTTCAGGAAACTCGTGACTCGTGCCTCTGGAGTGTTCTCCACATCCGCGGCTACGCCAGACCTTGGCAAACGAAGCGATGTCCATGCGCAAAAATCTTCCATCTGCAACAAGCTTGACCGAAACTGGACTCCGAGCATACGTTTGCAATGAGCGTAATTATCGCTTAGTAGAGTGCGAAGTGGCAAGACACAACACCTTTTAATACTGCAGCTCGGCCTGCACAGAAAGGTCAAACTTCCGCGCCAGGCAATACAAGCTGCTGCTCTTGGCCGCATGCCAGACCACAGGCAGCCAAAGCAGAGATGCAGTCAGGCAGCTCCACTTGCACGTCTAGCTTATCTGGATCACGCAGAGGCACGTCACGGCCAAAATTCAAGGGCCCTTCACGAGGCGGTGCCGACCCCATTCAGGGGCGAAGTAACGCAGGTGATGCCGGCAGAGCACAATCGAAAATTGTTCAATGCCCTCAGGCAGATCAGTTTCTCGTGCTTCCTCTCTTCCTCAAGCAGGGTAACCCGAAGCCTCAGCAAGAGCACAGGGTCGCAACTCAACAGTCACGCAGTGGTCGCGACGAGCTGGCACCCTTAGATCGAAACCTTCGGCTTTCCATCCTATGGGCAAATCGCACAACGCAATGTCAACACAAGAGCAAGTCCCGAGCTGAGCTCAGGAGAAATCAGCCTCGTCGACAGTTGTTGTGATGCTGAGCTCGGCCAACCTTGCCAGGGACTCGCTGCAATGATTCGTGCAAGCACGGGTGCACTTTCCTGGGTCGCAAGCTGAGCGGATGTGATTGCAGCAGGCGTGTTGATCATGGTATCTCTGCCTTGCAAAGTGATTCGAGAGAGAGGCAGCGTGAAGGCGCACTCTACTACTCTGAGACATGCTCCCATGTTGTTCTTCGGGAACGCAATGAAGTCACGGATCGTCGCCTAGAGAGAAGCGACAGTTGCAAAGTTCTACCTCGCTTCAGAAGCTGCCTTTCCACCAATGATGGTGCAAAGTCTGTCGAGTCCGAACGCCAGACCAGCATGCGGTGGAGCTCCTACCGGGCAAACAGGCATCAGCTCCGGTTCTAGGAGCGATGGCCAGCGGCTCCATACTCAAAAGCGCCCATCAAGAAGCCGAACTGCGCCAATGCCTGGAACGGTCTCTATAGGTCCCCCATATCGGCCCTGAAGCGGCCAGGCCGGTGATGTGCATCAGCCTCCTCCTTGCTGAAGCCAAGCACACTGAAGACCTTCTCCTGCAGAGGCCGCTCCTTGGCTTAGGCTTAGCTCAGAGCAGAGAGCCCCAACAGAAGCCACGGAGTTGTGCATGTTCCTGCCAGTCCAGGCCGCGTGAATCCTGACGGAGCCACCACCCACCTGGCCCATACCAGAGCGCCACCGATGCAGTCTGGAGCAGAGTTACATCAGCCTCAACGCCGTTGATCACCATGTCATATGCATTGGCCCTCACCTTCTGCATGATGCTCAGAAGAGGCTTACAAGGGGGGAGGGGGCTTTGGGGACAAAGGCCTCTGCCAGTTTGGGATCCTTGTGGTCAAGGCCTCAGCAAGGCTGCCCGTGCAGGTCCACGATTGGCCAGTGATCTTGGGACCACACTGACCATTTTTTCGATGTCCTGCAAGAGTTCTTCAGGACACGTGCAGCGGAAAGTTTTCAAGCTGGGCCTCTGTCCAGGGAGAGGTGAATGGGTGGTGTTTTGCCGTGAACCGCCCCTGTCACTAGCAGCTGCTAGGAACTCAAAGTAGGCAAGGAACGGAACGCCTCATCCTCGTCCCACTCCAACATCGGAAAATTCCTGCACAAAGGCTAGTCAGTGGTCAGCTGCTGGCAAAAAAACGCGAGGCTCCGGCACGACCCAAAGTGCCCGAAAGCCTTCACTTCGCAAACCTGGTGTCCAGCTGAAAACAACACCAAGACCAAACAGCTGTATGTATGATTGTCCCATTCTGACGTGTGCTATCCAGCCTAGCTCTGTTCCCATCAGGTGCCGGAACTTGCCCATGGACTCTTGCCTCAGCATCAAAACCAGGACCGTACGGAGACCAAGCACGCTGACAGCTGCAGGAAGGAGGCGTCTGCAGCTTCTTGCCTTCGAACCACGGCTGTTGTTATGACTGCTTCTGGTTGCATCTGCTTCTTGAGCAGAAGTCTTTCTTACATCAACCCCTGTTCTGAGTTTTGATTGCAAATGTAGTTTGTAAATAGCAACTTAAACGAGGAGACAGGGTATATCTCTTATACTGTTCGAAGCTGTTTAAAGCATGTAAAACCTTTAGGTTGCTCCATGTGGGCATCCATGAAGAGGCCCTGGTTTTCGCATAATTACTATTGGAGCGTAAGGCAAACCGCCTTACCAACATGTGAAATGCTTTAGTTTCTATACATTTATATTAAATTACCCTTGTACCCGGCCAGATTGGTTGTATGCTACCGCATAATCCTGCTGCGTTGTTTACAGTCTAGGCTGACTTGCCGCTGCGTGTGCCTGCGATAATGAGCAGGAGGTCCCCTGGACCACATCCTCCTGGCTTGGCGTTGGCTTTCCTCGGATTTCTGCACTCCAACACGGAGTCCATAGTCAAGTTAATGCTGGCAGGTTTCTCAACCCACTTCACGTAGTCCTGCCAGAAGCGGGGCATGTTCAGTGGCTCCTACTGAGGATGGAGATTCCTCGTCAGTGAAAAACTTCTTTGCAGAGCAGTCGTAGGTCCCATCGGGGTTGATCTTCAACCACACCAGTGCACTTGCGCCTGTCCAAAACAGTAGAGCTGGATTGTCTTCTGGCAACGTCTTGCCCGTTCCGACACAAAACGACAAGCAGACCCAGCAACCATGCTTGAAGTACAAGGCATATTGAAGACAGATTGAAGCCAACGCATGGTTTCGATACCCGCCACAGCTTCAGGGATTTGCTAGAGCTTAAGAAATCCACGATTTCCGGTTTTGTGAGCGGCGCCGTGTCGAAACAGGTCGTCTCCCATCTCTGACCTGCTTAATGGAGCCTAGACGACCATGGTTCATGCTCCGCAGCAGGCTAGCTCTCCATAATCCTCTGCTATGTTCAGGCGCTCTCTCTCCTAGTCGACCTGAGTGGGTTGTTGTGCGGGATGTTCGAGCAGCGTGCGTCGCAGCTCTTACAGCCTAAGCGGCATCTCCGCTCACAGCCCCTGGTTCGGAAGCCAAGTCGGATGAATTGGGCCAGTGGGCTTTCCTACTTTTCCTGGACTGCTCCACGCCACTACACGATCTACACATAGGGATTTCTGAAGATTCCACTGGAGCTGCCGCGGTCTCACCAAGTGGAAATTGCATGTGAGTGGGGTGGCTATCCGAGCAGCTGCAATCGTCATGAGCAAGCTCTCCGGCCTACTTCCTGTCCTGTGGCCTTCTTTTCGAGATCTTTCACTTTCCTTGTATGCGATACCAGTACAATGTAGCAAGATCTCGGCAGCAGACAACTTGCATGCAAGCAGCTTCCCAGACCATGAGCCGATGCCCTCAGAGCCGCTACTCATTCGCAAGATCTGTTTTCTGCCAAGCACAAGAAGCAAGCTTCCCTCAAACAACGCATCCGAACCTTGCAGCACATCCCCACAACGAGCTCCGCATCATCAAACATCTCAGGCACACAAAGCAGGCACGAAATACATCCTGCATGGTGTGATAGATGCTTCTCCAGCCTTGAAGTTTTTCCCCTTGCTCACCTCGATTGGCAAAGGTATGAACGGCATTGGGCCGAGCAAGGCTATACTGCGGCAAATCAACCTCTGTCAGGTCCACCAGCCTTGGCATGCAGGTGTGCTGCAGGCTTCCGGAAGAATGCGCCTTCTGTCCGAGAAGCTCCATGTCATAGCGCAAGTCAGGCTTGTCGATACCAAAGCGATCCATTGCCTGGAGCAACGGGGTGGTGGCTTGCGGTGGCCCTGCCTCTCCGTTAAATGTCGGGGCCTCGCTGTATTCCATCCTCTGAAACGGAGGGAACTCGTGACCTCGCTCAGCCCTCTTCCGACGGCGGCCAGAAGTACTACATTCGACTGAGGACTTGGGGACCCGGCCGCACAAGCCTTAACGAGCAAATCAGTACAGCAAGTGATGGGGTGACATCACTTCTGCAAGATGCTGAATTGTAACGCACAGCTTAGATGCTTTCCCACGCAAAAGCACACCCAGAGACAGACCAACACACAACACCAACCTACAAGTGGTCTCTGCAAGCAGCTCTTGAAGATTTGGTGAATCATGCCCTCGAAGATCCGCAGAACGTCTTCCTGCCAAAGAGCTTCTGCACCATGAGAATTCCACGCATGCAAGCAACAGAATGAACAGATATAACAGATACAGCCTGCTGCACGAAGGACATTTCGCAATCCTCAGTTCTCCAGGTCATGTTGCACATGCCGCCGCCACTCCCCCACTTACACGCAGTCTTACCCTTTTAAGTCGGGGGGCAATCTGAGTAAATTCAGGCTGCCTGTCCGCCCGAAGCTCCTGGCACGTCTTGACTTGATGCAATGCAACTTGCAGAAGACTTGCTTGCTGCCGCAGGGGTCCTCGTCGCGAAAGCATTTCACGATCTGGAAGTAGCGATCGAGACCGCCCACCTTTTTTTGAGAGGAATTTGATGCCAACTACGCAGACTGGGGAATGAAAGGCAGACTGGCAGATCAGCTTGAGCGGAGCACCATTAGAAGCTGCTTGAAAGTCTGCGGTGACTGCGGCAGAGCATAGAACTGCCTTTGTCTGCTCATACACACGAAACCATGAGTGCACCTTGGAGCAGCTTCGTCTACGTGTGCCGGGTTGCCCAGGGTTCATTCGTGAAGGCACCACAAAGTCACGAGCTCCTTCAGGTGTTGACTTGATGAGAACCGGGGTCTCGACTTCCTGGGTAGCACTACTTGACAAATACTTGACTTGAGCTGTGCAGCCGAGCAGCACAAAACTCAAGATCTCCGAGGTATCTCAGCTTTCCAGGGATCGAGCGAAAAAAGATCCAAGCCGGAAAGTCTCTACAGCAGATGAGGTTGCAAGGACAAGTCGCTCTCGGACCAGACGCGTGACCTTATTGCGGAGTAGGATGGCGTCCTTGATCGGGTTGCGCCGAATGTCCAAGTATCCTGGTGGCACCATTTTCTGGCTAGATAAGAACGGATATGCACTGTCTGGCGATGCTCGCATCAAGCATATGCACACCGTGGTTTGGCATTACACTGTGGGAACGCGCCGGAATCAGCAAAAGTCACACAGGCGATGACGTCAAATCCGGGCAAGGCGCTGTACCGCATTCGAGTGTCCTTGAAATGGCAATCAAGCTGATCGCATCCTCAATCATCTGTCAGACCCCTCCTCGTTGGCATCGGTCGCATCTTCGATTTTGAAAGGAGGTGTGGAGCTGGAGTTCCTGAGTGCACGGTGGGAGCGATGGGTAATGACGGTTGCTGCCAAACTTGAGACATACAAACGACCAACCCAACTAACCAACCAACCGACCGACTTGCCCGTCGACCTACCAAAGAAAAAACAAACAAGCAAAACACATGCAACAAGCGCTATCTCACTCTCTCCCTCTTTCTCTTGCGGTCGCCCTCGGTTTGCAGCCTAGATGCAAGACCTCAAGCTGGTCTGCTACAATCTCGATATCCCCTGTCCTTGTGCATGGTTGCTGGTGCAAATGATTCGAGAGTCAGCGTCACTGATGCAGCACGCAAACACGCACGGCAGCTGAAGGGAGGGCGGTCTCTTTGCATTCTTCTGGATGCGCTCCACCACCTGCGAGTCTGTGGCTAGATCAGAAACGGTTGAATTCACTGCGAAGAAGCGCCCTGCCTTTCCGGTCACCTGCGCAAGGTCAGCACTGTGCAGCACAGGCTAGCACATCAGCATCGGGTGCTTCACAATCGTGGGAACCTAGCCTTCACGACGAACTCGCGGCCAAGATTTCGTGCCTGCTCGTAGCGCTGGAGGCCCGCTTCGTCCGCTCCTTCCTGAACCGAACATCACATGCAGTATCACGCAGTGCAGCTCAGAAGGGTCCCCAGTCCGCCCACCACTGCAAAAGCCAAGCATCTTTGGGAAACACAACCTGGCAGGGTCAAACTCAATCTGCACCAGACCTGTCGTGTCTAAGCTGTAACCACTACAGCACGTCCAGCTGAACCACAACACGCAGGGTTGCATGCAACAGCGATCGTCTGCGAGCTTTTAAACTATATGTTATGTTGCCATGTTTCTTGAGTGTAAAACAGCGGGCTGTGCCGCTGACTCCGGTCAATAGGCTAGCCTTGTACCACTGAGATCCGGTGGTGTCATGCGTACACTGAGTCTACAGTGTCTGCATGCGTTTGCAAATCTGAGCAAGTGCATGGCTCAATTGCTTTATCCCCACCAGCTACCCCAGCTTTTTCAACATGGCCTGTGTGATGCCATAGCGGTCGCGCAGGTCGACGAAGGCAAAGTGATTCATGTCTCTGGACATCTGCACCCAGCCGCAGACAGTCACCAACTGGCCCACATCTTCCTTCCTGGCGGGGTTAGAAACGCAGGAACCCTTTTTCCGGAGCGGCAGCCTCCAAACACGCCAAGCCACCGAAGCTCTCCACAACTATGCGTGCGGTGCCCCGTTTGAAAGGCGTGCGCCATCTTCCACGGCCAGCCAAGAGCCTGCAGCCTCTACGTCTCCACGTGCATCGGCTTGGGCCAAGAGCTGATTGATGAGACACTACGACATGTGTATATCCAATCAGAGCGCTACCCGTGAGCCCCACTGAGGTACTGGCAGCTCCCCGCTGCGAAGTCACACTGACCTATCACAAAGATCAGCACAGCTGCGGAGAGGCAGGTGCCAGGTCGAACTGAGGTCCAACAAGACGCCACAGCTCCGAAGCAGAAACCGTTGCAGTTCCTGGAGTGCTGACAAACCGCACCAGAAAGGGTCACGAACCCAAGGGCATCAAAGTGCTGACTGTGGCAAAGACCTTAACCCATCAATGCACATGAAAAAGTCACGAACAGTCCTCGCTACCCGGCTTGTGTCACTGTGAGTTCAAGACTGCAGAAGTCTTCAAACCAACAGATCGGCCTGCAGGCTGCAAGGATGTCAGCTGCAGCTCATGCACCCACTCCCAGCCTGCTCGGAATGGCTTCGGCTCTCGATGGTCAACACGAGTCCTCGCGCACGGTAGCCTTCGAACTGCTCGAAGCGGGCCGAGAAGCCTGAGGCATCCAAAAACGGCTTTTCTTCACATCGAGCGTCGAAATGACCAAGGCACGAACTAATCTCGAGCTCTCTGGGCAAAAACCTTGCACGACGTTTCCTCCTAAAGGTCCTCCCCCGAAGTACTGGGTTTGCCTCTGAAGGATCTTGGTGGCGATGGCTGCCTCCTTGGTTGCCTCGGCCACGCCAGAGGAGGTTTGCAGGCGGAACAGCAATTTTAAGACGGGTGATGCACTGCGTGTTGCAGCCCAGCAGCACTCTTACCGGCCATCTTCAGCTCCAGACACCGGTAGCTTTCCCCCCCATCTTCACCCAAAAGCCGGGCCCGTAGAGCAGCCTCGATTCTTCGCAACAGATCTCTACTCTAGCATGAAGTTCAGGCCAAGCCTAGCAACGGCTAGCTTTGAACCGTGAGTTCTGCTGCTGACCAGGACAGATCTCACCTCCTGCCAGGCTCTGAGCTAAGATCCCGCCGGCTTACCGGAATGCAAGGGAGCAGAAGTCCTTCGGAAGCCACTGCCTTTGAGCGGAAACCTTTCGAATGGACACCCTGCAAGTATCCTCCTGGCATCCCACCATGTCCAAGGCAGCTCCAGTTGAGGAAAGAAGACTGATGGGCCACCTCCCTCATGCTGAAGGACCTTTGATGAGACTGCACAGCCGATCGACTTGAACCTGATAGCATCTCCCGCTCCGAAACTGTACTGAGCTGCGCGGCGCGGCTGCCTGCATGTCCGCCTGCAAATACGCCTTAGCGGTATCTGTCTGTCAATGAGGTTCGGTATGCAGCATCCAAACCTGGACAAAAAGAAAAGTTCAAAAGCTGCCAAGTTGCCAAGGTAGGCAACACATCCGCCATGGTGGAGTCCTCAAGCTTGTTGCTGCAATTTGTATGCGCGACACTCTGGGAGCATCCTGTAAGCTGCACACTAGCTCGACCTGCAGTTTGTCGATCAATTCCTCCGCGACCCAGGCAGCGGCATCCTGTCAACAGAGCAGAGCTTCGAAACGAAGTCAGCTCCTACCGTCCGACCACACTCCAGGACGCCTTTGGCTTTGGATATCGCGGCTCTATGTCTGGCGGCGGTGGCAGAGCCGTCACAGCGGCCTGTGCGGCCTCACGCCATACCACATGCGAAAGGCAAGAGAATTGCAAGTGGCAGATATGGCTTCTGCTGCAAGCTCCGCTGCATTCTCGAGGTTGGCAACGCCTAACACAACAACATGCAGCCCCTGATCCGAGTGAAACGTGTTTGCTGCCCCACAACTGAGTTGCTAGGCCCCTTGGCCTGAAAACTCCAGCGGCGCACCATCCTTCACAGAACATGCAGCCGAATTTTCCATGCAGAACAGCCGTCACACTGCATCCTGGACTGCAGAGCCTTGCGGCCTTGGTACACATGGAGGCCTTGTACAATCCGAAAGTTGCCGTAGTGTTGTTTCGGCTCTCTCGACAATCTCCAGCCCATGAGATCGCGAGAATTTTCAAGCCAGGATTTCTATACTTGCATATACTTGCCATCTCCGGAGGGATGTGATCTACGCATTGCCGAGCATGCACAAGTGCGAAAGCGTAGTCCTTGTGAGTTAAGCATGTCGTGATGCTGGTTGTGATGTCTTCAACAGGTGTTGTGTAAATTTAAACCGGGTTAAGCCCGGGGATGAACGGTAACTAACGGTGTGTTTCAATTCCGCTACCGCGGCTAGGAAACTCCCATGCGTTTTCAAGTTGGAACATCTCGCAACTGTAATCCACGCAGACTTCTCCTGCTTGTATGAACCGAACAGTCAGACTAAGGCATCTTGACTTGATAACATATGCCTCCTCCAAACCATGTACTCGAACGGTCGCTCGAAAGCCCGACTCAATCTCTTGAGTTTCGTAGACCTGGGCAATGTTGTGACACAAGCTGACGGGCAGTCAATGCTCGACTAATCGCAGCTAGCCGGCAACATCTCCTGCGAGGAGAGGCCTTCGCAAAGTCTTCGAGACCAGGTTATTCAGCTGCACCTAGCAGTTCTAGCGACCCATCGTCTGCGTCCCTGCTCTTTCAACACTGCTTGGCACAACCGCCTTGGCGTTGATCGGTCCTGGAATGACATGCGTAACCCGAACTTCCACATGCAGCTGTCAAGAGGTATCCCTGCACACCTCGAAAAGCAACCTAATGTTTCTGCTTGACATCGTCATGAGCGGGCCGGATGCATACTGAAATGACATCCTCTGCGCGACCGTCGGGAAGGGGACCGAAGCACGGCCGCCTTGTGCGCGCCCGGGCAACCGCCGCACACTATCCAACGCTTGGAGATACCAGAATAGCCTGCCTTCTCTCGGGGAGCTCGATGCACGGGAGAGGCGAAGCGATCACCGCGAAACCGCCTGAATCACAAAACCGGCAAACCCGGACAAAGCAACTGCTTGCAATGTCTTGATAATGACTTGCATTGCAACAGAAACATACATGACTTTGGTGTTTGACATCGGCGTGTCGTGATCATGCCCATGTTTCAACACTTTATACAGGAGTGCAGTTGTGTAAGGCTGAGACAAGCACAGCAGCAAAGTGACCAGCGCCAAAATGCGATGTCGCCATCTCATCATTGATTGCGTGGAAACAGCGAATTGAGAATTGAGGCTCAAATAAGCCATTACTTTGTAGGGTCGTTCTTGAACAACGAAACAACAAACAAACTTATTCTTGCTTGACCCGATAACCGCAGTAATCATCAAAATGACAGAATAAGTCACACAAACATGAAGAAAGGAGCATTGTGGCTCTTAAGCACCAACTGAATTTAGAGTGTGCATCAAAAATTGGGCTACATGCGTTCATTGATGGGTAGAGAAAGGACAATGACATGGAAGAATTTGTAAACTTCAAGCAAATTTTCAAAGTTCAATCACACTGACACAAATGAACAAGCACCATGAATGTCGTTTTCAAGCAGCAGACAACTAGTTCCACCTGCAACAATTGGTTTTCTGTTAGTTGGAGCTGGAAGCTAAAACTTTTTTGACGAGAAAAATGGCCTAGAAGCAAGAACTACGGCAACACAAAAAATCCAACATCTTTCCAAAAAATCAATATTTGGAGAACTTTAAGTGTTTAATAAACAAAATTGGAATAAAATTGGAACATCATAGGAGGAGGAGCACGTCAAAAACCTAAAAACTTACAGACTTTCAGAACTTCAAGCAAACTTGACCAAGCATCCTTGCAAAGTAAAAGTAGAAAAAAACATCTTGTAGTTCCTTCCAAAAGTTTTGGAAAGTGAAAAGAAAGCTGCCAATGCGCGTTGGCTCCATTTCTCCAGAAGTTCCCATCCAAACAGAAACGATGACTAGGTTGGCTGTTGTTTCAAGCCGTTGCGCGTCTGCTTCTTTGTGCAGATCCACTCTGTTCGAGTTCCGATCACGAACAGATTTTGGGCCTCGAATTTGCTTTGAGTTAAATCGAGCTGCGAGATCACTTCCGAATTTTTTAATCGCGATTCACTCAACGTGCACTCCAGACTGCACTCTGTTCGAGTTCCTTTCTCTTAGATTTCGAGATGCGGAGTGGAGCAAAGCGGAGCAGCATCTCTACCACCTGCACTGTTCGAGTGCCCAAACTTGGAAAAAAATCGCTTCGGCGCTGGAACCGTTCCGTTTTCGCGTCTCTACTTGGAAGTTTGCTCGCTTCCCGCGTCCTATTCCGAGTTTGCTTCGCTTCGCGCCTTCCAATTGCTTCGCGCAGCAAAACCACTCAGTATATCTCAATTAAGCTCTCAGTTCTTCCCTTGCATTTCCATCCCGACCATTCATCAAGTAGATGAACCAGGTGAGCTTCCGTCGGATCGCGATGAATGGCTGACAGCAGGTCCAGCTCCGGTTTCATGTCGGAAACTTGCTTTTTGCATCTGGAGTTTAAAAATAATTGAGTGGAGCTTCTGTCCACTGAATTCGAGGGCAGGCTACTTTGACATGATCTGGGCCTCCCCGATGTGCACTGAGTACTCCAGAGCTCTGACAAGGAGGCCACGCAAGCTGGAGGACGGGGATCGCCTTGCCATCAGAGCGCTGGAAATAATCAGGGACTTGCAGCCGCGGTTCTGGGCCATCGAGAACCCACAAACGGTGTTGCTGAAAACGCGGCCCTTCATGTTCGGCCTGCTCTGGGTCGACGCAACCTATTGCCAGTATGGCTTCTTGTACAAGAAGACCACGCGCATCTGGCGCAACTTCTCTTGGACGCCCGAGCGACCTGTGTGTCGCAAGGGCTTCAGATGTTCGCTGTCGGTGAACTCGGGGCGCCATTCCATTGACGGCCCAGCGAGGCACCAGCAAGGGGTACGACTCCAGTCAGTCAAGGGACCAGCTGTACTCCATTCCGCCAGCCCTCTGTAAGGAGATAGCTTCCGCGGTCAATGGCCTCAGTCATCTTTCAGGATAGCAATGCGTTGCTCGAGTTGCTTGCAGACTCCCCATAGAACATGTCAGCCGAGAGTAGTCCAGGCCGTAACGCCCGTTTTCTTCGCCGTTCACCACCGTGCCTCCAGAGCCGCCGGTGATTGCCAGCCATGGAGATGGCGTTGGTCATGAGGCCCGCGGCGGGCCCGAAGACGCAGTCGCGTAGCGCTTGCGTGCACTTCGGCCGGCGCGAAGATGCGCAGGCTGTTGTCGCTGGCATCGGTGACCCGGACCGACACGGTGCCAGCCTCCAGGTTCAGGAACTGGTCGGTGGGCAACAAAGGCTCCACGTGCCCCCTGGAGGGAGCCTGCGGTGGCGATGCCCGGGCTTGAGTCCGCAAAAATTCGCCTCTTGGTCAGCAGTTGATGCCATCTTTGATGCTGAACAGGCTCGTGGACAGGTCTGCCATGGCAGCCCCGTTGGAGGCCTCAAATTCGACCGCCAGGCTGCCGCCCCTAGCTGGCGCCGTTGGTCTGGACGTCGTTCACCAGCAGCAGGTCGGCAGGGAGAGCCCCGGCTAGGGCGTACCTGGTGTCGCTCTTGCTCTTGCTTTAGGCATCGCACTCTAGCTCGACCGTCGTCCCTCTGAACAGCACGTTTCGTGATCTCGTACCTCGTGTCCAGGGTCGTGAAGTCGCTGCTGGGCAGGTAGCGCCCGTCTGCCTCCGCCTTCGTGTGTGCGTCGCACTCCAGTTCGACGGTGGTCCCGCTCAACAGCACGTTGGCCGTGAGGGGCGCCCGAGACAGCAGCACGCGGACCTGCTGGGTGCCGTCGTGAACCAAGCTGGTGAAGCACGCGTTG